GTTCACGTTTAACCGATCATGCGGGGAGATCTGTTTATGACTTTGCCTTGGCATATGGTCTGACACAACTGGTTACTTCGCCTACGCGGATTCCAGATGTGGAGGATCATACACCTTCCCTGTTGGACCTTCTGCTGACCTCTCATCCGGACGGATATCAGGTTTCCGTCGATGCCCCTCTCGGCTCTTCGGACCATTGTCTGATCCGGAGTATGGTGCCACTCACGCTCCCTTCGCGGTTGCGTTCTGCAGGTTGCCGCCGTGTTTGGCATTACAGGTCGGCGGATTGGGACGGAATGCGGTCTTTCTTTGCATCCTACCCATGGGGGCGGGTTTGCTTCTCGCCGGATGATCCCAGTGCTGTTGCTCACTCTGTCACTGATGTGGTGCTACAGGGAATGGAACTATTTATTCCATCATCTGTGGTACCCATCGGAGGCAGATCTCAGCCTTGGTTTGGTCGCTCCTGTAAGACTGCATTGCGCAGTAAGCAGGAGTGTTATCAAGCCTGGGCTGCAGCTTCGGTGACTCGGGATGTAAACACCAGCACACTTAAAAAGAAGTATAACTTCGCCTCCAGGTCCTTCAAAAGAGTTATTGCCAAGGCAAAGTCAGAGCACATAGGCAGAATTGGCGAGAAACTAGTTCGCCTTCCTTCGGGAACCCGTGCATTCTGGTCTCTCGCCAAGGCTGTCCAAGGGAATTTCTGTAAGCCATCACTACCATCTCTGCACAGGGAGGATGACTCACTGGCCCATGACGCAAAAGACAAAGCCGACCTTTTAGGCTCCCTTTTTGCGTCCAACTCGACTCTTGATGACGGGGGGAAAACACCGCCGACCATCCCGCGGTGTGAGTGCTCCATGCCGGATGTGCTGTTCTCACAGCGCTCGGTTCGCAAAGCACTGCTCTCCCTGGACATCCAGAAGTCGAGTGGGCCTGACGGAATCCCCCCAATTGTGCTGAGGACGTGTGCTCCGGAGTTGGCACCGGCCCTAACGCGTCTTTTCCGGTACTCCTACTCCCAAGGCGTAGTCCCGAATTCATGGAAGACAGCTTTTGTCCACCCGATCCCTAAAAAAGGCGACCGCTCAGACCCGTCCAACTATAGGCCTATCGCGATCACCTCCTTGTTCTCCAAAATAATGGAATCCATTATTAACTGCCAGCTCATCCGGTACCTTGAGGATCACCAGCTGATTAGTGACCGCCAATACGGTTTTCGTCGGTGTCGATCAGCTGGTGATCTTCTTGTCTACCTGACCCATAGATGGGCGGAGGCAGTAGAGTCCAAGGGGGAGGCGTTGGCCGTTAGTCTGGACATTGCGAAGGCCTTTGATCGGGTTTGGCACAAAGCGCTTCTTTCAAAGCTGCCTTCCTATGGGCTTCCCGAGAAATTGTGCAATTGGATCACCAGCTTTCTTGCAGATCGGAGCATCAAGCTCGTTGTAGACGGTGCATGTTCTGACTACAAGCCTATTAACGCTGGTGTTCCACAAGGCTGTGTGCTATCACCAACGCTGTTTCTTCTGCATATCAATGATATGTTGCTAACTGGTAACATTCATTGCTATGCGGATGACAGCACTGGTGATGCTCTATACACCGGCCGGGCCAATATTTCTCGGGAAAACGTCGCCGAGTACCGGAACAAACTTGTGTCTGAAGTCGAGTCTTTGCTGGACAAAGTCTCGGATTGGGGGCGACTAAATCTAGTCCAGTTTAATCCTCAGAAGACACAAGTTTGCGCGTTTACCGCTAAAAAGAACCCCTTTGTCGTATCTCCTCAGTTTCAAGGCACTCCCCTTCTTGCCTCAGCCAGTATCGGTATCCTCGGAGTCGACATATCGAGTGACGTGCAGTTTCGTGGTCACTTGGAAGAGAAGGCCAAATTGGCCTCTAAAAAGCTTGGCGTGCTCAGCAGAGCGGGACAGTATTTCATGCCGGCACACCGCCTGCAACTTTACAAGGCGCAGGTTCGGCCTCACATGGAATACTGTTCCCATCTCTGGGCAGGGGCTCCCCAGTGCCAGCTCCTTCCACTTGACCGCATCCAGCGCAGAGCGGCTCGAATCGTCGACGACCGAGCCCTTTCCGATCGGCTCGATTCATTGGCACTGCGAAGAGATGTTGCATCTCTTTGCATTTTCTTTCGCATCTACCATGGGGAGTGCTCTGAGGAATTGTTCGGATTAATCCCAGCCGCCAAATTTCACGAACGCACATCGCGGCAGAACTCCCGATACCATCCACACCATCTGGATGATTGGCGGTCCACCACTGTGCGATTTAGAAGATGTTTTCTTCCTCGCACAACCTCCTTGTGGAATAGTTTACCACCAGGGATTTTTCCGGACCGATACGACTTAGGGACCTTCAAGAAAAGAGCCTACTCCTTTTTAAAAGGCCGGCAACGCATCTGCAATTCCCCTGGTGTTGCGGTTGTTCATGGGCGGCGGTAGTCACTTACCATCAGGTGAGCCGCATGCTCGTTTGCCCCCTCTCCTATAAAAAAAAAAAAAAAAAAGGGATATAATTGGCGGTCAAAATTTTTAAGTTCTTAGCATTCTTTAAAAACAGCTTCTCTATCTACTTCTGACATTTTTTCTTTGCACTTTAACCGACAGTGTTCGCTACACGGTGGTTTAATTTTTCTAGCATCCTTCTTCACCTTTGGTTTTAAATGTTACGTAAGCAGATCCTGCATTTCTGAGGATTTTACATTTATTTTGTAACCATTCAGTTGGTTTAGCTACACGGTTTTTGCTTCGTTTTTTTTGTGTCTGGTATTGGCGTGTCATCTAAGCTTGAGTACAATGTTGATACTGAAGATATAGCTGCGGGTGTAGCTTCAAAGTTAGCTTGGTTACCAACGTTGTCTTCAGTTTCAGTATCGTCAGAGATTTTAATGGAACGACGTTGCTCAATTTGAAAATCTGGATCTCTTACCGAATCATCGCTATCCTTATTTGAAGTTGAACTAGAAGTGTCTGAGGAACATGTACTTTCTGTATCTGAAAAAAAAATCGGTTGATGGGTCATCAATAGGCTTCCCGATTTGCTTGAAACTCTTGTCTTTAACTTCTATTGAACTTGTAGATGGTATCACTTCAGTATTGTAATGCAGAAATTATATATAAATGCAGAATTACTTATTGTTATATCTGTTAATGCAATATCGAATCAACAATTATAATGACAACTAAACAAAGCCAACTTTTATATCAATTGCACATCTTTTCACATTGAGTCTGACGATCATCTGGCAAATCGAAATTAACTTTCTCGATGGGACAGCTTTTGAAGTGTTCACTTGGAGATAACAATATTTCAACTTCCGTAGTGTTCTTGCTGGAATTAAATCTTGTCCTATTTTCTGTAAAACACATTTTTAAATTAGCACATCGTTTCAGACATCAAAATTGAAGCCATCATTGCTCCGATTGCACGATAAAAAAATTAAAACTTTTTTACTCTCAGCTTCGGGAACAGCTATGAAATCTTGATTAGTTCTTGCGAGGTTACATTGTGGTATATCGAAGTCAATTTTCCCGGTTTCTGATAGATTGTCAATAATATCAAAATAGGGATTATTCTCTTGATTCTGAAAAAAAATATTAACACGTAACCTTTGATGAAATGCACTTGTTTACATAAAGTTAGACGCTTCAATTGGTTTGTTACACAAATGCTACTAACTTTTAGAATGACAAAAATAACCTGGTGAAAACAGGTAGGTAAGGTAAGTAGGTAAGTATAGTAGGCATCTATCAGCAAGTATCTTACCTTGCAAGCTTGTTCCCCCAATCTTTTGATGATATTCGGCGGATATATTTCTTTTATCCTTTAGAGCTAAGCGCAGAATTACGTCATTATGTTTCATTTTGACCCTATCATAAATCAGAATCAAAGCAAATATTTCGAAAATACCTAAACTTTGTTATAAAACAACGTTACAAATCGAAATATTCGGACAAAAAATATAAATTTTTCGACAAATACTGTTACAACAAGAAAAGTAAAACAATATTACAATAAATCGCATCAAAAATACTGATACAATACAAAATATAACACTTTATTATAGAAATATTGAGTTAGTTTGATTCAATTGTTTAACAATAAACTGTAATAATTCGACTTGTAACTGTTCATTAGATAAATTGATGTAAGTAAAAATATTTTACCCGTCTAAAACACTGTTGTATTTTGATTTGTAATACTTCTTGTCTAAAAAAAAAGCACGTCTACCGTTTATAACACTAAATATAACACTAATAGAGATAATTCTGGAGTCAAAATGCTATAGTCATGTACCGTTACAACTTCATCTAGCGGCGAGTATAAGAGTTACAAATGTAACCATTTTGGAGAGGATAGTTCATAAAATTTTAATTATTTCTGTATATTTAACTCAAAATTCGAGTTGTAACCCTATTTTATCGGAGGTGCGATATGTGGACTATGTGCTCGTTTGTCACCCTATCCTATATAAAAAAATAACGAACTAGTACACACCACGTGTCGAATAACCATACGACTGCCATCTGGAAAATAAATCATCTACGCACCTGTCAAGCGTTGAAATTACGGCAAATCCTATCTACTACAGAAACGGCTCATATTCTGCAGTAAATTTCTATAAACAAATGAAGTAGATGAAGAACTGCAACGTTGTTCGGAAAAATCTATGGTTAGATTTAAGCGTCGATTGTCGTTCAGTTTCTTTACGTCATTTCGCCTCAATGTCACTGATGAAAACTATAAATTTTAAAAGATAGATTCTTCTAAGTACACATTCATCATCATTGTAAGGCCCTAAAAGCTTACTGCTGGACGTCCTCTCGTCACTTAGGAAGGATCTACGTTAATCATCACGCTTGGTGCATTAACAATCACAGCAACAGACATTTCACTTCTTAGACGTTGCAGAAAGCCTGTGTATTTTTCCTTAGTAACCCAATCTTTTTAAGAACTGCTAACACTTAGTTTCATTTCAGATGGTACCGTGAAACACCAGGTGGTGCCCTTCGCGAAGTACGAGAGGGAGAGTCGAGTGGAAGGTACAGCATGTCAGCGGACGCGCTCGGCATCCGGCGCGCTGAACAAGCTGACGACGGACGCTGGGCATGCAGAGCCGCGAACACTCACGGTCATATCACACTACGCTTGCATTTGTCTTTACGTGCGCATCTAACCGTTCACGTACAGCCACATACGCAGGTAAGCGGCAATGCTTTATGATTTTAATAATTTATACGTGGTATAGAGATGCTGCAGCTATATTATGGTTTGTAGCACAAAAGGATCAGCTCAACCGGGATAGGACCATGCTCACACACCAGCGTAAAATAGCAGCTTAATCCATCAGATTGACTGTGTGCATATTTGTCACATTTATTTTATAAAAAAAAATCATTGAACATAATTTGTTACACATTGAATAAAACTATTTTTACGGATTTTATCGCGTTTAATTTACTTATTTTATATTCCCGACGTTTCGGTTGCTTTCCAGCAACCGTGGTCACGGGGGACTGAGGTGATTGACGTCTCGATGTCAAAGTTAACCCGGAGTACCTTCAGCTTTTTAATTATTAATTTTGGTCCGATCTACGCAGAATGAACTAACTGTGTCTTGAAGTCTTACAGTGGTATGCTTGGGTTTAGTTTTAATTTTATGAATTAAAGGATCCCAAGCAGGTGGTAGTACCCAGCCTCCCTCTCTATTGAAATTAGGATGTTTTTTAATTTCAATAGCCTCACGTATCATCCTTGGCAGGAATCGATGTTCTTTCGCGAGGACTTGTGGTTTATCAAATCTAATGTAATGACGGGGGCCGTCTAGGATATGATCACAAACTGCAGACTTCCCGGAACGTTGGTGCTTCACGTCAGCTATGTGTTCTTTTACGCGGGTTTTTATTGATCGTTTTGTTTGCCCTATATATGAGAGACCACACTCACAATCAAGCTTGTATACTCCTGCATCTTGTAGAGGAATATTGCACTTGACGGATGGTAAGAACTGACTAATCTTCTTCGGCGGCTTGAAGAATGTTCTAATAGAAGCTCGCTTCAAGATGTAGCCAATCTTGTCTGTGACACCTCTGACATATGGTAGTACAGCAGGCACACGCTCGACTGTGGCCGGCTTCACTCGGTCACTGTGACGTAGGCGCGGAACCCGAAGCTTGTTGTCGTGCAGAACCTGCTTGACGTGCTGAAGCTCGGCGGCCAGGTGTTTGCTGTCACAGATCCCTCGTGCTCTCTGCAACAAAGATTTGCCCACGGTAGCTAACTGTGAAGGGTGATGGTGGGATTCACCGTTTAAGTATCGGTTTGTATGGGTCTTTTTTTCTATACACAGTGTGACCTACGGTGTTATTAGGATTTCGAATGACTAACACATCTAGGAAAGCTAAAGAATTATTTGCCTCTAACTCCATAGTAAATTGAATTTTAGAGTTTATGGAATTAAGATGTTCTAAAAATGCAGTTACTTTGTCTGATGGTAAAATTGTGAAAGTATCGTCTACGTACCGCTTGTAGAAACTTGGAGTTACTGGTGCAGTAAGCAGGGCTTTCTCCTCAAAGTCCTCCATGAAAATATCGGCGACAATGGGAGATACCGGTGAGCCCATCGCAATACCATCTACTTGCTTGTAAAACTGTTCCTTCCACAATAGGTAGCCAGATGTAAGGCAATGTCTGAGTAATACTGCATATTCTGCTGGCATGTTGTTTTCCTCTAGTTTCCTAGTTATAATTGAGATGCAGTCTTCAACAGGTAGGCATGTAAATAGAGACTGAACATCAAAACTGACCATAGTTTCATTGTCAGTAAGACATAGGTCAATCGCCAATGTCAACGTAATAACGGAACGCAATCATTGACAACAGACGCGAGTAATAAACAACGTGCGGTCTATAACCTGTCAAAACAATCTCTAGACGACGCGACGATAAAAGTTTTGGCCAAAGGTATGAATTTCGCTATAACACCGCGAAAAATTCCGTATGAAAACATTATCTGTAGTGTTGAGGACTGTCTGTATAAAAATAATATTGGTAAAGAAGATTTAGAGGCTATACGTCAAGACATTTCGTCCTTGTTACGTCGAAGCTCAGCGCCAAAATTAAATCTTCCCAAAGATGAATTTACTGCATTGAAAAACTTACGCAACAGACCAGACCTTACGATTCTCCGCGCAGATAAAGGTAATGCTACGGTTATAATGGATACGTCGGATTACAATTTTAAAATACAACAACTTTTATCGGATGAAAGTACGTACGTAAAGGTCAAAACAGATCCTACAACTAATACGCTTAAAACAACTAGCGATCTAATAAAGAAATACTCCGAAAAACTGAATCTAGACGTAAATTCGATAATACCTACGTGTGCCAAACCGCCGAAGTTGTATGGGTTACCAAAAATACACAAACCGAACGCTCCATTACGTCCAATAGTGAGTCAGATCGATTCGCCAACTTACAGATTGGCTCAACACTTAGCAAAAGTACTATCACCACTCAGAGGACATACAAGAGCACACACTAAGGATTCATACCATTTTGTCAGTGAGATAAAAGACCTATGTCTTACTGACAATGAAACTATGGTCAGTTTTGATGTTCAGTCTCTATTTACATGCCTACCTGTTGAAGACTGCATCTCAATTATAACTAGGAAACTAGAGGAAAACAACATGCCAGCAGAATATGCAGTATTACTCAGACATTGCCTTACATCTGGCTACCTATTGTGGAAGGAACAGTTTTACAAGCAAGTAGATGGTGTTGCGATGGGCTCACCGGTATCTCCCATTGTCGCCGATATTTTCATGGAGGACTTTGAGGAGAAAGCCCTGCTTACTGCACCAGTAACTCCAAGTTTCTACAAGCGGTACGTAGACGATACTTTCACAATTTTACCATCAGACAAAGTAACTGCATTTTTAGAACATCTTAATTCCATAAACTCTAAAATTCAATTTACTATGGAGTTAGAGGCAAATAATTCTTTAGCTTTCCTAGATGTGTTAGTCATTCGAAATCCTAATAACACCGTAGGTCACACTGTGTATAGAAAAAAGACCCATACAAACCGATACTTAAACGGTGAATCCCACCATCACCCTTCACAGTTAGCTACCGTGGGCAAATCTTTGTTGCAGAGAGCACGAGGGATCTGTGACAGCAAACACCTGGCCGCCGAGCTTCAGCACGTCAAGCAGGTTCTGCACGACAACAAGCTTCGGGTTCCGCGCCTACGTCACAGTGACCGAGTGAAGCCGGCCACAGTCGAGCGTGTGCCTGCTGTACTACCATATGTCAGAGGTGTCACAGACAAGATTGGCTACATCTTGAAGCGAGCTTCTATTAGAACATTCTTCAAGCCGCCGAAGAAGATTAGTCAGTTCTTACCATCCGTCAAGTGCAATATTCCTCTACAAGATGCAGGAGTATACAAGCTTGATTGTGAGTGTGGTCTCTCATATATAGGGCAAACAAAACGATCAATAAAAACCCGCGTAAAAGAACACATAGCTGACGTGAAGCACCAACGTTCCGGGAAGTCTGCAGTTTGTGATCATATCCTAGACGGCCCCCGTCATTACATTAGATTTAATAAACCACAAGTCCTCGCGAAAGAACATCGATTCCTGCCAAGGATGATACGTGAGGCTATTGAAATTAAAAAACATCCTAATTTCAATAGAGAGGGAGGCTGGGTACTACCACCTGCTTGGGATCCTGTAATTCATAAAATTAAAACTAAACCCAAGCATACCACTGTAAGACTTCAAGACACAGTTAGTTCATTCTGCGTAGATCGGACCAAAATTAATAATTAAAAAGCTGAAGGTACTCCGGGTTAACTTTGACATCGAGACGTCAATCACCTCAGTCCCCCGTGACCACGGTTGCTGGAAAGCAACCGAAACGTCGGGAATATAAAATAAGTAAATTAAACGCGATAAAATCCGTAAAAATAGTTTTATTCAATGTGTAGTGTACGCGTAAATATAAGAAATCATTATAATTTGTTACAACTTCAAATTGTGAATTTAGTTATACATAAATGATTTTTTAATTAGAGTAGATAGTAATCCAATGTATGCTAGTTCACATATTGTAAGCACATATTATGTGCACTGCTTAACTATGGTCATTGTAGCCCATGGAAATCTGCAACCAATTTCAGACAAAGAAGACTACAAATGCTTGTCATGCCTGGGGATTAGGGTGAAATGCCTCATATGCCTGAATACAGGCTATGTATTGGTTTTCTCACACTTCAAATTTAAATGTTTCAAACAAGAAGTTAGTTATGTGATTATAATGAATGAGAATGGTGTAATATTTAAACCATAAACCTTAAAAATCTCAAAGACATTCACAATCAGCATCATCTAATACTACAAGTAGAAGAAAAAATAGAACAAGAAACATCGTGTGAAATAAAACTAAATTTTACGGATTTTATCATGTTTAATTTTATTTTATTTTTAAAATTCCAGACGTTTCGTACGTCGGTACAATATTTTGATATACTTAATAGACCACAAATTCTCGCAAAAGAAAAATGATTCCTATCGATGATGATTCGCGAGGCTATTAAAACTATAAAAAATCCTAATTTCAATAGAAAATATGGATAGGTGCTAACATCTGCTTGGGATCCTATAATTAATAAAATTACTTCCAACGCCAAGCATACCACCGCGAAACTTCAAGGCACTGTAAGCTCGTTCTGCGTAGATCGGACCAAAAGTCAATATTCAAAAACTGAAGGTAGCGGGCTAATAATCAATTACATGAACGCCAAACACCTCAATCCCCCCCCCCCCTTTGAATAAGTATACATAATTTAAAGCACCCGAAATGTCGGGAATTAAAAAGTTAAAATTAAACGCGATAGAATTCGTAAAATTAGCTTCATTTAATGCGTAAATATAAGAAATCATTGAGAAGCATCATGTTTGTGGCCCTAACATGTAATTGTGTATTTTTTTTATAGGATAAAGGTGACAAACGAGCACACAGTCCACCTGATGGTAAGTGGTTACTGCGGCCCATAGACATCTACATCTATCCTCTGTTACAAATCAAAATGTAGATGCGTTGTCACCCGTGAGGACTAAGATGGAATGCCCCATTTCCAATTAAAAGGGCCTCCGGCCACCTGCACTCACCAAGCGAAACGCAGAGGT